GTATTTTGCATTGCTGACATACCGTAAATGCCCTTTTAATTGTTTTTTACATCCTCCTGCCTGATGAAATAATGAAAACAGAAATTAAATAATCTGAATTATTGCTTGGATGTCACACATCAGCCGCAGAAGGTAAAGGCTTATGATGCTATAGTGGAGAGCAGCAGGATGGTCATAAATAAAGGACAAGCCATTTCCAAGAAGTAGCCTGAGAAAGCGCTTAGAAAGGTCATCTTTGCAGTCAGTGTCCAGGTCGCTGCATTCAGTCTTGCAGTGTGGCACTTGAGAGTGTTCCACATAGTTCTTAGTGTTCCTGGCGTGGTGGGCAAGGAGCCATGACACATCTGAAGTGCATTATAATGATAAACCCTTCTTTCCTTTTGCTTTTTAAACTCTGATCTTCTTTCCAATCTCTTATTTTGCTGCTCCTTACTTTACTCAACTAAGATTGTATTTGAGTCTGGTTTTGCAGAATCTCAGGATGCAGATGTGACTCTGATCTTTTCTGTTTTTATTTTATCCTAGTTTATCCATGCCCACTTTTTAGTGTCAGATTTCGTAAGCCTTTGTTTGGAGAGACCGGACACACGATCATGAACCTCCTTGCAGTAAGTGCTGAGACTGAGTCTGCATGTCCCAGTGGTGTCAGTGGAGCAGCGTGGGGAGAGCTGTGCTCCTGCTGCACGCAGTAGCTAGCAGGCTTAGAAGATGGCAAGAGGAAATAGTGGGCATTTGGATGAATTCACCTGCTGTTACTGCTGCAGGATGTGGTCCTTTGACAACCTGGTGAATTCTGAAAAGGTCCCCAAATCAACATCCAAAACCTGGCCACCTGAGGCTGTTTGGATCTGGAAACAAGTGCAGCAGTTGCCCAGATCCCTTCCTCAGAAGCGCTGGGTCACCACAGCGTGCAGTCACAGCTCTCTGGTTATACAGAGCTTTAGCTGAAGCAAAGTTATTAGATCTTCCTACTTTGCTAATATTTTCAACATAGAAAATTCTCTTTGATGCATGACTTAATCTCACTGCTAGGAAAACTAATAACACGATGCAGTAATGTAACAGATCACAGAGAGCAAATTTTCTTACATACACTGATGACATTCAAGGCTGGGGAATATTAATTTTGGTGTAAGAAAATCTATTAAATTACTGACATTCTTGGTGGTGGTTTTTAATTTGTGTACTTCGATTATGTAGGTTAGAAGCTGTGATGTCTCCATCCTTCCCCGCCTGTCAGTTGCCTATTGCAATTATTTTAATGGGCTAACTAGTAATCACAAGGATAGTTATGAAACCTGCAGTGTTACTGATGATCATCGTGCCTAATTTTCAAAAACTTGTTTTAATTACCAGGACTTCAGAAATTACCAATACACGCTGCCAGTGGTCCAAGGTTTAGTGGTTGATATGGAGGTCAGAAAAACCAGCATCAAAATTCCCAGCAACAGATACAATGAGGTAAAGCTTATAAGAAATACGTTTGTTTACAGTTTCTTTATGACTGGAAGACCTGAATCCTAAAGGAATTTTACTTTATTCACTACCACTAATGATAATGATAATGATAAAGCATGATAAATGCATGAAGCACATTTGTTTACAGTTTCTTTGTGATTGGAAGACCTGAATCCTAAAGGAATTTTGCTTTATTCACTACCCCTAATGATAAAGCATGATAAATGCATGAAGCACACGTGTTTTCAGAGAGAGTGTGGCCCCACGGGGAGAACGCCGTTCAGTTTAGTATTAATTGAACCCTTAAACTCTTTCTCTCCAGGTTTTGAACTGGTTACGTAAAGTGTAATTGTAAATACTTCTGTAGAATAGAGTGCACTTTTTGTAATAACGAATACTGGTTTGATTTGAGCGAATCCGTTGACAAACTTCACACTTGAGGTAAACTGGGAGGAAAAACTGCATTAGCTTTTCTCATCTGTGTTGGCTGCGCATACTTGCAGTATTTATTAGTATTTGTTGGAATGCTGTGTATTCTATGTAAAATATCTCTCAGCATCTCAATTTTATGCTTGATTTCTGGTGTGAGAAAACCAGTGTCTTCAGGATTTAGTGCTGTTGAGAAAGCTTAGTGACAAGACATTTGAGTAGCAATGAAAGAGAGCAGTGGCGACAGCGATTGGTTTTGTCGTCTGTCGAAGAGAAGGGGTCACTTGATATTTTGAATCAGCATTTGGGGTGAAAGCAAAGCTGCTGGGGCAGATGGTATTTGGTATACAGCTTTACCTATTAAGAACATTCCCTGCAAGAAGCATGCGAGTAAAGTAACAATGAAATAAATGTAAAAAAGGAAAAAGTGTTCTTATGTAAAGCAGGATGAAGCAGGAAGATAAGGGGTCTGTTAAAAGGCGCATGAAGTCTTGATGCAGTTGTGAGAAAATGGAAAAGGTCAGTAAAGTCTGCATGGATTAAACCTGCACTGGGGCACCAGGCGCAGTTTTGTAAGCGTTGGCTGTGCCCCACGTTTGCAAGGGCGTGCGACTCAGCTCCCACTGCGCTGCCCTGTGAGGAAACCCCTGGTTCCACAGCTCCGTGAAATCTCTGCATCGGGCTCCGGTTCTTTTTCCAGTGTGGAGCCAGGATTCAGCTTCTTAAATGGACAAAATGTTCTTCATTTACCATTATTGCTTGCAATCCAGTTGAAAGATTAAATTACTAACGATTTTTCATCTGAGTAGAGCTTGAATTAAGATTAATTAAACCGCAAGACCTTTACTTTTCTCTCATGTAAAACAGGATTTAATTAGAAAAGAGTGTCACTCAAACTACCTAGAAATTTAAAAACTTGTTTTCAATCTCGTGGACAGATTAAATGTGGAGAATTCAGGCTGTAATTAACTAATGAAATATTAATATGTAGTTTAAAGTACATATTTTAATCTTCAAAACTACTTTAATTTTCTCCAAGTGGTACCCAGTGTAGCTGTTTCCTGTTCAGTACTTCAGCAAAGGTGACTGTCGTGTTTTGATCGGTCGCCTTGGCACAAAGCACAGGTGCCTCATCCCCTTGTCACTTGTGCTGAAGGCAGCTACGGGGCTGCACAGCGGTGGCTGCTTTTGAGCTGAAGTCTTGTTTCTGGAGCATGGCGTGACAAACTAGATAACGAACTACACTGTTGTCAGCTGCAAAGTCTTAATTAAGTTTCCTCCCCAAACATTACACCTATGCACATTTGTCAATAGTGAGCATCAGCGACTGTTCCTGGCACTGTAATTAAGGTTTTATGGTAGACTGAGACAAGTGTGTTGTGTGCAGTGTGTCTGCTTACCAGCTACAGGAAGCAGAGGTTGGGAGTATGAGTGCTGTTGAGAGATGTCAAATAACTCAGCATTTTCCTTCTCTTCAGGGTTTTCACTAGGGGGGAGGCTGTAATTTAATTTCCCTTTTTTCTTTCAAGCAAACATGTAATTTTGGGGATTGAAACAAATTCCAGAGATAGGTGACTTCCTCAGTTTTCCTTTGAATCAAAAATCTTGTAACCTGAGCCTCCCTGAAGAGGAAAGAGGAGAAAAGGAGAAAAGCGATATAATTTACAAGAATATTTTGCCAAGGCTTGTAACCAGGTGTATGTCAGATGATAGTCAGCAAAACTGAAATGCAGATCTATCACAAACATCTTCTGTTCTTTTTGGAGGCCTCTGCAGAGAATTAAATTATTACTGGATGTCTGATTCAGACTTTTTTACAAAGTCTTCAGAATGGGAGCACTCATACGTGTTTGACCAGTTAATGTGGATGAAGCACAAAGACACCGAAGCTTTGGTGTCTGGTCATGGCAGAGCCAAGATCCAGTGCCACAAGTCCGAGTACCAGTCCAGCACTGAGCCGTGGAGGAAGCATTTATGGTTTATGTCTTAGGTCTTAAGCATCTGTAGTTGTGTGAACAAGCCAGGTATTTCCTCCTAGTGTTTTTCTAATTATTTTTGTGTGTGAATTTATTGTTTAACACAGCTAGAGAAAACAGCTTTTGCAGCCTGTGTAGCTCAGCTACCTCTACCATTTATGTTAATTACATTAAAGGTGCACTTTAAGCATCTAGACCTTATAAGACCTGAACCCTCTTTTCAAAAGCAGTTTATGGCTCCGAGTGCTAAAACCTGATATGAGAATACGAGCACTGTGCAGAAGCTTTGCTCTGTCTGATTAAACTGTTCCAAGAATCACCTGTTTGTGGTCGTGCTTGACGAACAGGTAACCCTTTTTGTTTGCAGATGATGAAAGCCATGAACAAATCCAACGAGCATGTTCTAGCAGGGGGAGCGTGCTTCAATGAGAAGGCAGACTCGCACCTGGTGTGTGTTCAGAATGATGATGGGAATTACCAGACGCAGGCCATCAGCATCCACAATCAGCCAAGGAAGGGTGAGAGCAGGGGTCACGAGGAGGCCGTTCCCTCCTGGGGCTCTGTGTGGCTGCTTTGCTGCTCATGTTACCGCTGCAGCCTGTGGTGTTGCGAGTCGGTCAGAACCGGGTTTGCCTGCATTTCCCAAAGAAAACAATTCTGACTGCTGGCATCGCTGAACAGCAGCTGACTGAGTGCAACACAGGGAATGGTAACACATTGCTCTCTGTCCTTTACCCCCTTGGTGTTTTATTCCCCTTGCAGAATCCACCATCTCAGATGTCAGGGGCACACCGTGTGGTTTGCATCCTCTGTAGAGTCCATGTCACACTTCTCTGTGTCAGTGGTGCTGTTCTGAATTGGTCTGAGAGGTGTTCTACCAACTTCATAGATCAAGCTGACATAAAGCACATAACAGCTTGCTCCCTTGTAAATATGGTGACACTGCTCAGGCCTTGCAGTGCTCCAGAGGTCACAGTGCTTAGACAACACCTCTACATTAATGATGAGAGCTGTCCTTGGCACTGCTGGAGGCTGCAGGTGAGGCTGTGGTTGCCTTTGCTTGGCCCAATCTGTGGGAAAGGAGGAAGATGAGCTTTAGTGTGAGAGAAAGGTAAAGAGGAATAACCAACACCAGCAGCATTTTAATAATGCATCTTCAAGAAACTCCTCATGTTTACTTCAATTAGTCCGTCTAATTCCCAGGCTTTATTTCTGTTAGAGTAGGCTGAAAGGCTGCAGCAGCAGCATGCTGAGAATTCACATGTGGTTCTGGGGAGAATTTCTGGCAAAGACATTTATGCTATCTCCAAATGAGAACAGGCAAGACAGATGCCACCTTTTCTGTTTTGTGAGTATCCCCAGTCAGTCCCGTGCGTGTCCTGGCACTTACGGTCTTACCTGACTTCTGTTCGTGGGACAGAAGTCGGATTTCAATTCGCGATGCTTAATGGTCATTTAAGAGAATTTTACTTTTTAAATCAGGTGGCTTTAGCTGTGGCCTTGCCAGCGGGTTGGTGTCACAGTGTGATCCAGAACCAGCTCGCTCAGTCTCTGCCAGCAGTGTGGGAACATTTGTAAGTTAATGAGGTACTTGGTTACCCTACAGTAGTAGTCCTGAAACTTAGAGGTGTGTATGGGCAGTGGGAGAGCGATGAAATACGAACATTCATTAAGGTTGACAAAAACTGTTGTCCAGTTTAGAAAATAACTGGGCCATTTGCCCTTCCATGTCCAAGCCTGTGATGTGAATTAAAAAGTCGCCGCAATTCAAAGCCAACGTTTGTGCTGATTTACATTAATCGCCTCTCTGGATGGTGGAGCGGTGATGCCCGATTGTCGTGTAAGGCATTGTTTTGATGAAAGCCTAACTAAATCACTCCTGTTGTTGTTGTTGCAGTGACTGGTGCCAGCTTCTTTGTGTTCAGTGGAGCTTTAAAGTCCTCTTCAGGCTACCTGGCCAAATCCAGTATAGTAGAAGGTAAGAACTGAACTGCTTCCTTCAAACACACTGCTTCCCTCTCAATGCGGCTCAGCTCTGTCGTTACCAGGGCCCTGCTGTTTCGCCTTGGGCGTTTGAATCATGCTGCTGCTTCAGCTTTATCCTACTTTTTAGCCAAAAAACCCCCAACCCTGTTTCCTTTAATGAGGAGGAACTTGTCCAGATGCTGTAGAAGAGGGACACGAGGAAATGAGTAAGAGATGAAATACCTGGCTTGTGAGCGTGTGAGCGGTTCACTGGTTTGGGTTGAATGAGGAAATGGTGAGCCCAAGCAATACGGAAAGCGTGACCCACCGGCCGGGAGCGGAAGCCCTGCTGAGCTGACTCTGCTCCCAGGTAGCTCTGCATTGTGCAAGATTAGGAATGGGCGTTGTTTCTGTGCTGGTACGTGGGCAGATGAGACCATGGAAAGTTGAGCTTGTTGAGTTGGCGTCTCCATGATGTGGTTTGTTCTTTAACCAGCTGTCAGATCACCTGTGTACGCTGGAGTGAAAGCAGCGATTGCTTATTAGCTGAGCTACAGAACGCTGTAGTCTGAGCTCACTGCAGATGTGACGGTGCAGACAGCAGCGTTTAAAGTGAGCTCCTGACAGGTGGTAAGGAATGCAGGACGCCCCGTGTGCAGTCAGCCAGCACCGACGAGCAGGAGTTCTTTAAGCTCGCAGCGTGTGAGTGTGCAGTGAGTGGTCACCCAGGGCTGAAAAGCAGCCAGCTCACCGTAAGTCACCCAATGTAGGGCATTACACCACTCTCTGTGGCTAAATCAGTGGTTTAGTGCAAGACGAGGTATGGATGGATTCAGGCAAGGAGTCTGTATACTGGGAAGTGTATAATTCCAGAATTATTTCTGCAGTCATTTAGTGATCCAATCCAAATTCTGTATCTTTTGCCACTGTCAGGCAAGCATTTACTTCCCAAGACCTGGCACCAGTGGAGCGCTGCTTCCAATGCCAGCAGAGGTGACAGCGGAAGGGGGAACGGGGGGGTGGAACATGGGGTTTCGGGGGTGTCTGGAGCAGGGGTGAAGTTTTGAGGGAAACTAAAGCAGCCATTGCTACAGCTGACTTCATCTGCTGGGTGGACTTTCTATGTTACCCTTGTGTTTTCCCAGTCAGTGCCTATCAGCGCTGTGTTTTAGGAATCGGAGAGTGCAGAAATGGTCTTGTAGTGTTGCTGCCTATGACTCTTGAAAGAGTTGTTTAACCTTTCTGTTGCAAAAAAAAAAAAAAAACAAACAGAAAGAAGTTTATTTCTTTTTTTCATATTGGCTCATGAGGATTTCTTGGCTCCCTAGATGGAGTAATGGTCCAGATAACTGCTGAGAACATGGACTCTCTGAGGCAGGCCTTGAGGGAGATGAAAGACTTCACCATCACTTGTGGGAAAGTCGATGCTGAAGAGCCTCAGGAGCACGTTCATATTCAGTGGGTAGAAGATGATAAAAACTTCAGTAAGGGGTAAGTAGAGGAGCAATCGCTTGACATTGAAGGGTGACTGACTACATTTGATAAAAACTTCAGCTGATCTTATAAGGTGCATGAGTCTTCAAAGCAATAGGAACAGGTCTGTGCCTCTGTTTTGAGTGATAAGATGCAATTAAACGTAATGAAAATGGAATAGAGCTTTGGGGCATTAGTTTAGACGGTTGTCTATGCCACGGATTCTTTGCCATTGCCAATATCCAGATATTGGAAACCATTGCTCTGGTTCCAGCACTCAGCGCTGAACCCTGTGCGTTGTGGTCACTTTGCTCTCTTGTTGCTTAGTTTGCATTAAGTTGTGCCGGAAATAAAACTGCTGAACATCAATGGTATATTTGGACTCTTGCTAGTTAAGCCAAAAGAAAGGCATTTATAGCAGTTCAGTGCTGCTGTGATTCGTACAATGCTTAAGGAATCGGCACCTAGAAAGAATGACACCTCTTCAGCTTCAGGCTCTCTGGGTCAGCCTTAGGTTCTGTAATTAACTTCTGGGCCGTGTAAGTTCAGGTATTGCTGGCCTACACTGAGGTTACAAATGAATAAAAATGGAATCTGTATGAAATGCCACGTTGCTGTGTAAGCACCTTATGAGAGCTCAGCTCTGGTGCAAAGCTGTGTTGAAAAGCTGCAGGAAGGTCTTTCCTGCCTCTGGTTTGTGCTTCGTGCCCAGGACGGGCGTTGGGGTAGGAGCTACAGGGGCAGCAGCGAGCACGCTGCGTCCTGGCTCTGCCCTCCTGCCCGCTCCAGAGGCTGCTTGCTGTGACACTCCAGGCCCAGCTCCATCGTCACCAGTAGCAGTTGCATTGCAGGTCCCTGGTTTGGCACCCTGAGAGAAGCCTCTGGGGAGTTCATTCTGAGGCTGACTTGGGTCCGTGCCCTATGGAGCTGATGTGGTAAGCTGCTGTGTAGAAGCAGCTCAAATTGCAGAACACTCAGTTATGGAAAAACCGACAGCGAGACAGTTGGAGGATTCAGGTGGAGCAGAGGAGCTGCCCTTTGATCCCACTGCAGTTCTCGTTTACAGTGCTCTCGTGTCTTCTGCTAAGCCAGAACTTACCCTTTTCCCTCCCTTTCACAGTGTTGTAAGCCCAATTGATGGCAAATCAATGGAGTCTATAACAAGCGTGAAGATCTTTCACGGCTCAGAGTACAAGGCGAACGGAAAGGTCATTCGGTGGACAGAGGTAAGGCAGTCAAGTTGAGCTGCACGTAAACCAACACCGGGCATTTTCAGATTGTCCTGCTCCCCCTGCTCTCCAAAATCAAAGCAGCAAATTTTTCAGAACAAACCTGTCTTACCTTTCCTGCCTGAGGGAAGATTCAGTACAGCGTTGTGCACAGTGGAGCAGCCCATCACTGGAGCACAGCTCAGGCTGCAGTCACAGCCACCCTCTGCGTTAACAGAGGGAGGGAAACAGAAAAATCATTGCTTACTGTGTTACCTGAGGTAACAGTTGGTTTCATCTGCATTTGAGTTAAAAATACCTTTTTAATGGAGACAAATCATCGTAATTTCAAAAAAAAACGTTATTTCTTGAGCCACCTTCTCTAAGATCTTGCTGGTTACAGTGAAAGTGCTGTGGCATAAATCACTTGCATAGCTGACATCACCTGTGACTGCTGGCACACAACTGCTGCTGTGAAAAGACTTCAAGTGTTTCACTTCACCTGCCAAGGAGGAACCCAGGACTCACTCTGCAGCTTGCCACCTTTATCCCATTTTCTCGAGTCAGTTGGGCTCAGCAGTGACAAGTACAGCAGCAACAACACCACCACCAGTACACGTCTTCAGGCTGGGATGGCTTCTACTAAAAATGTGAATTTTCTGAAGTTAACATCTGTTTGAAAGCAGGTTTTTATTTAAAGCTAAGTGCAATACACGGTGAATTTCCATAGTGAGGCTTTTGACCAGCACTGAAAGGCTTTTGAGAACACAACTATTTAAATCTTGCTTTTGAAGTTTTTTTTTTTTATTTTCCCCACTCAGGTGGCTTGGCATCAAGGATCTCTTGCTGCTCTTTTCTGAGCAGCTCTTCTTTAAGTCTGCATTTGTAAAAAGTTTAAATAGCTTCTCAGTAACCTTATTTTCTAGAAAAGCCAAGTGTGTCTTTTGTTAACTCTTTTCCTTAGGTGTTTTTCCTGGAAAATGATGAGCAACACAACGGTCTGAGTGACCCGGCCGACCACAGCAGACTGACTGAAAACGTGGCGAAGGCTTTCTGTTTGGCGCTCTGTCCTCACCTGAAATTGCTGAAAGAAGATGGAATGACTAAGCTAGGGCTGCGTGTCACACTTGACTCAGACCAGGTAAGTCTTGAGTAGTTTTGGTTTAACTGGGGGAGGCTGTTCCCTTGTTTGTTCCCTGAGAAGGAAACACCACTTCCACCATTCTCGTGGTTGAAGAAGTACCAGTATCAGATGCTGATCCAGGGGTGCTGGCTGCTGTTTGGTGTTTCGGGCCGTCTGTTAAAATTGGAAAGCCAGTGCCCAGCCTGAATGAACACCAGGCTTGACCCCCACATGCCACACAGCACCTCCTCTGTAGTCAGAGCCCTGTGAACAGCCATGCCACGTGCTCAAAAACCAGAAGTTAAGGACAGGAGTCTGTTAAATGCCTTCTTGGGTAAGCAGCACTGTTCCCAAGCATGGCGAGGCAGGGAAACAGAGGGAAGGGCCCCTGGAGAGGTTCCACAGCAGAAGCCACAGGCAGAGAAAAGGATCTCCTGGCAAGACAGCTGGCCTGGCCTCGCAGCAGACCTGTTCTTAGTGTCAGCCAGCTTGTAAATACTGCGTGACTTAATCTGCTCCTGCAGGGTGCAGTTCCTGCT